TAATTATGTCAATCAGAATCCATATAAAGCAGATCAATTCAGATGAGAATTTTTATGGAAAACTTCTAGGGTAGACAAATTGTTGTACAAATATACCTTTCAAGGTGTTGAAATATTTTCTGTAAATGATCAACCTTAAAACATTTGTCATTTTTGACATCAACTCTTTTTATGGAGGTGTTATGTCATGTGTGTTATATTATATTATGTTAAGGCCCTGGTTAGTCTGAAATCAGTTAACTCAGTAGAAATACCGCCATTAGTGGTGTCATTCATGGAGGTGAAGTAAATCCATTCAAATTGTCTTGAGAGTGCTAACCTTTGAGGGGAAATGAGGAAGCCATCATATTTGCTATTATATGTTGCACCATCCAATCTTCTTCAGAGGAGTGAATTAGCTGGGTTAACGTGCTGTCCAGTAAGCAGTTGAGAGCACAAGAACTCACCTCTACCATTTGAGGTGGTTAAGCACTGTCAGGCACGAGCAAGCGTCTGCTGATTTTTCTCATTGGTGTTCTGCTTTAGTACACAATTGGTCTTAATAAATGATCAAACAGCATCTCTCTATTTATCTTGCTCATTTTTAAGACTCGTCAGATAGTTTGCTACATAACTGTCAATAAACCTCTACTTCTGATTTTGATACTAGCTTGCAGGCTGAATGAAAGTTGCAGCAGGCTTTGTTTGTCCAGTCAGCATCATTCAGTACTGTAAAAGTTTCTTAACCCAAGAAACTCTACCAAGTATTTTTCAGCAAGTGACCTCCTTATTCCCTGGTTGTGAGCTGAATTTCAGATTAAGTATCCAGTAGTTGCTTTACCAATACATCCAACAAAGCCCTATATACAGTAAGTGTGCATGGGAAGACTTGAGGTGTAAACTAAAATTTGCCACACCATTTCAAAGTACACTAGAGAGGTTGTTCACATGAATGCAAATCATATTGTGTAGAAATAAAAATGTATTGATAAATTATGAATAATACTTATAGATAATGGAAGAGTACTATTGCTGTTATTCATTAAAGTTGTTGTTCCCACAGAGAACTACAGCATCAGGCTGCATGCATCTTCAGACTGTCCAAAAACAAACAAACATTATTATGTTGTGATCACTAGAGGCGGTTTAGAGGCTCACAGCAGCCTATACTTTGACAATTTACGGAGGACATTTGCCTCTGTGTATAATATAGAGGAGGCTAGACTTGCTCAGTCCTTTCTTGTAAGTGAGTAGGTGGGGACGATGTGACTAGCCAGACATCGGAAGCGCTGCAGCCAGACTTGGTTAAGCTTTAATTCGAAAATCGCAGTGGGAGGTGTGACATAATTGTAGATGTATGATAACAAACTGTATATTTAGAACATGAAAATAAATTGTCAAAAATTGTTTTTAAATTAAAGAGTAACAGTTTTAAAAACAGATTTAGCGAGAAAGCTGGTTATTTCTAGCTTTGGTCTTGTATTGCTGTTGAAGCTGTCCAGCTGTGATGAACAGCAGAGGTTAATCTTTGGCCTCTTTTCTTCAGGCTCCCTCCTATATCAGTTTTTTACTTAAGAGAGCACAGCTGTTGGGAGCTGTGTTTCCTCAACAGTTCCACATCTGCAATTTTGTGAGGCAGCTTTCTCTCTGATTTAGTTAAGGGACCTCCTGTATCCCTTAAGTCAGTTTTGCGCCTCTCAAGGGAAATGACATAATAAAGACATGGCATAGACACATTTTTTTGCAGACCTTGTACTATACTATAAAAAGTAATTTGACAAGCTTATTTTACTTTTCTATAGAAATAGCCCCAAACATTTAACTATTTAAGACTATAGAAATATATATAAATAGAAAGCCATAGCATGTATGCCAATTCCTTTTATGTACACTAAGTTTTAAGACCAAAATAGGCCTGCAAATAGAAAAGTGATAGTTGATCCTTTCAGCATTCACACCTAATTAACTTCCAAACAGCACATTTTAGTCCAGTGACGACAATAGGACTCTTTCCAGACAATATGCCAACTAACTAGAGCCATATTTTTCCTATTTCTCATATTATATTGGCTGTTGATTATTCTGTTATTCTGTGTCCCCTAATGCTATCTTCATAATTATGATTAGAGGAATGTGTATTTCATCACATTAGCCTTGATTTAATTATTGTCTTTCTGTCCTGCTATACCCCCCAAAAGATGAACTTTGGTGATGTCACTTCCCAAATGTCATGGCAGCACTGCGCAGCCTCAGAGTCTGGGGGCTAGAGAGCATCATCGGCCAGCAGGCATACACACAGACAGACGAGCATGACAGACAGACAGGTAATTAGGCAGGCAGGTGGACAGACAGGCAGTCAGGACAGAAGACGGGCCTCGTGGTCCACAGGCGATGAATCCGATATCCATAATCGCTCTTTAATCTCTGCTGAGCGCAAACCATCACAAACACACACACGCACAAATGGTACACACACACACACACACACGCACACACACACACGACACACATGGACAAATTAGATGTGTGGTGGAAGCTTGCTCCTGTCTGTCAGTCCAGTTAAACTGCAGTCAGGCCAGTGTCACCCTGAGAAACAATGAGCTCTGTTCCTCCTGTGTGCCTGTGACAACGCAGACAGCTAACACACACACAGATACACACACGGGCACATGCACAGAGAAATTGTGGTAAGCAAAAGAACAATGTGGTTGTGAGAAAGAGAGAGAAAATGGAGATCTGAGTGTGTGACACCATCTATACTTGAGTGTATGACAAAGAGAGAGAGAGAGAGTAAGAGAGACAGTGAGAAGTTGTGGCTCGTCCCCTGTATCCTGCATCTGAGAGAAGTCCTTTTGGCCTGTCATTCACCGTCAGCTTGTATTAGAGGCTGAAGGAAACCCCTGGGAGAGGGAAACAGCAACAGAGAGACAGGGAGGGAAACTGCGGGAACGACAGAGGGGAGGGAGGGGGAAAAAAACGAGAAAGATAAAAGACAAAGGCAGGAAGAGCAGACACAGGAGAAGGTAAGGAGAGGGAAACCATTAATGTGACGACTTACAACAAAAGGCTTTAAAAAGTTGTTGTTGTGTAAATGTGTATTGCACATTCTTCTTTCAATCTTTTACTTTGGTGAAGGTCCACTGATAGGCCCAGCCACATCACTGTAAAATAAACATTTATCTTATTGAACTTATTCCATGTGTTTTTATTAGCCTACTTCTGTTAGGCAGGTTTTCTTAGCTTTGACCTTCAGAGTCACTCAACTCAAAACCATTAAAACTGAAGGTGTCCCTACATCTCAAAACTGTGTGCAAAGCAGTGCAATTGCTGACGGCTAGGGTTTTCTCGCACTTTCTGACTGATCTTAATGTTACTGTACTATTAATGGAGAGTACTACAGAGCCGTGACAACAGTTGTACAATGCAAAGTACAAGATTGATTTATTTGTCACAGTACAACAGGTTGTAGAGGGAAATTGCGTTGTGTAACTCTGCTACATAGCAGACAATATACATTAATATAGAAGCAATAGTAAAATTTGTGAACAGAAATAAACTATATTCAGTGGAGCAGGGCTGAGGATGAATTAGAATTTAAGAGTCTGATATCTTCGGGGAAAAAGCTGCTCTGCAGTCTGGTGGTGTGGCAGCAGACACTTCTATATCTCTTCCCAGAAGGCAGCAGGGTGAACAGGCTGTGGCTGGGTGGGTACTGTCCTTTAGTATCCTTTGGGCTTTGCGTGGGCACCTCACCTCACCTCACCGATATCACTGATGCTCTCAATGATCTTCTGAGCAGTTTTAATCACCCACTACAGAGCCCGCCAGTCCTGTCTATTGTGGCTCTGCATGGAGCTGACTTCAGTCTGAGAAAAAAACTCAAGTTATATCACTTGAGTAAACTCAGTTCAATACTACTTTGATACTAATATGATAAAATGATAGAAAATTTTCACTTGAAAGCCATTAATTACAGGTATGGCGTTTAAGTGTTAAAGCTAAAAGAAAAATTGCGATATGGGAAGTGTTGGAAACAACAGTTTTGGAACTCCACCCAAAGGACTAAAAGTCAGGAAATCTCACCCTCTGCTGCATCAAATGTGGAATACTGGAATAGTCTTTAAAAACACCTGTCAGGTTTGTGCGTCCCTGCTGCTTTGGTTCCCGGTGGTGCTCATTTGGCACACTTTCTGCATTGCTGCACCTTCCCGTGGTATCTTTCAAGGCGGCCATGAAACCAAAGATGCCCACATCTTTGGGTATTACTTTAATCATTATGCCTAGACCATGCTTGTTTGCGCTCATTTGCAGCTTTAATTAAATCCCTCTGCAAACGTTTAGATTTCACAGAGATTCAGGACGTATTTACGCATTCTGGAGAGGTTTCATCTCTCCACCTAATATGACTTCTTGCTGGTTGCAGAGAAATTTAACAACTCAGTCTTCTGCTTCGGCGATGATGATGGTGATGATGATAATGTTGACTAGCGGAACACATCATAAGTGTGAAATGTGCTCACATAGCTCCTCCTTCATGAGGACTGCTGCTGAGTTCTGTGGTTCACCTGTAAGCTGCTGAGAAGACGTTGGGTAGGTGAGTGAGGGAGAAAAAGGAAAGAGAGATAAAGAGAGACGGAGATGAGTGTGTAAGATGCAGGAATTTTTTTGTGAGAAAAAGAATACAGTGTATGTGGAAAATTAGGATAGATAGCTAGATAAGGAAGGAGAGAGAGAGAGACGAGAGAGAAAGAGAAAGTGGTGGGGCGGGGCGGGGAGGGGGCTGTCGGCACGCAGTGATTGGAAAATATCGAAGACGCGCACGCGCTAATCCGATGATAGGTCTCCGTTACCGGGGGAGGGAGGGGTCTGTAAAAAAAGAGAGAAAAAGAAAGTAGGACCAGGGCGGGAGCATCTTGCGCTCGCCCACCGCGTCCCTTCCTCCCGAGCCTTTTGTGTTTGAAACTCTCATATCTCACATATCAATAATTCAAACGCGCGCGAGAGAGAGCAGACGGAGCTTTCCCCCCCCCTCCCCCCCGCGCGCTATGAGTTCTGCTGCCTCGTCACTCGTCAGGGCCCCTCCGCACCGAGCGCGACTCCCGCTTATTGTGTTCCCAAGTGACAGAGAAGCTGCTGAGAAGTGAGAAAAGAGGAAAAGAACAGGTGAAAACTGGCGACTCGACCGGAGAGACGGGGTAATAAATACATTTCGAAAAAAAGGAGAGAAGCCTAAAAAGAAACCCTTTTTCGGAGACTCCGCGAGGGAGAATTGTTTGCTGTAGGCTAATTAAATCCAAGAAAACGGAGTGGCATCTAGTTGTAAAACAAGCCTTCTTAAGGTTCATCGGGGGAACACCGGGAAACTCTCCCTGCCTTACTTTTTTAAAGGGGAATAGACCCACGGTTTAAGGTGTGAAGACGACCGGAGAAGTTCGTCGTTCTGGTCCGGTATGTTGGCGTTTTGCCTGCTGAGTGCCGTGTGGCTCGCGGCGAGCCCAGCCCGCGCTCAGAACGAGACGGAACCAATCGTCCTGGAGGGGAAGTGCCTAGTGGTGTGCGACTCCAACCCGACCGCGGACCCCACAGGCACGGCGCTCGGGATCTCGGTGCGCTCGGGCAGCGCCAAGGTAGCGTTCTCCGCAGTCCGGAACACTAACCATGAGCCATCTGAGATGAGCAACCGGACTATGGTCATCTACTTCGACCGGGTAGGAAAAAAAAAACTATTTCATTCTATTCTATTGTAAAATAACAATAGGCTAATAACAGAATTTCAAAGAAACAAAATACGTTTATAATTGTTTTAGTCAGTCTTGTTAGTTTTATGTCTGTTTAATTTCAAACAAATAGCACCTGATGACAGAAGAATGGAAATCAGCGCAGATGAAGTTGCAAATGCGTGTGCGGGTGTTTCGCGTGTGGCGTGCGTATTGCCTGGTGCTGCAGTTGTCAAATAGCCTGTGGCGGGAAGACAACTTGAGTTATCAGTGGATGGGATAGTTAAATGTCACAAATTCTACAGAAACACCAGAAACAAAAAATTAGGTTGTTTCTTTCTGCGCTACCTCCAAAAGACTGTCATTTGCTCTTTTTTAGGCTACATCTTAAAAACACAACAAAAACAAAACAAACAAGCACTGAATAGGCTATGTGCAACACAGGTTGATGCAGTCTATGAGCATGTTATGTGAAAATAAAATGTTGACAAAACCTGGAATCCACATTAAATTTGGGTACAGCACATAGGCTACGGTGACTGGACGACTGGTAATGGTCTCCTGGCCAGCAGAGAGCAGCTGCATTTGAGATAACTAAAAGTTGAGCGGAAATGGATCTGTCTCGGTAACGATTCTTTTTACATTTCCAAAGTGGCTTGGGAAGTATAGCCTGGTAGGAAAGCCTTTTGAATTTTTCAACTTTTTTTGAGCTGACAATATGGGATATGGGAACTGACATCTCACCAAATAATTTAGTAACGGCAGGTCGCAAGGGCGAGGTCCTACCCGCCTGCCGTTAAAGGTTAATTATCCCTCAAACTGCCGTTCAATTACACGCCACAGTTCGCCTCCATCCATAAAACCAGACATTTGGCTGCAGAAATGCATAATTGAAAAATTTCATTTGAAAGATTGATTAAGTTCCCTTTCATTCCCCATAAAGTTTGGAAGTTCTGACAGGGGGAAAAACCTAGATAAAAGCAGAGTTATACCTCTACATCACTGAATCTGAATGTGTGGTCCGGGGCCAGGGGGGGGGGGGGGGGCTTTAAAGTCCTCTATCAAAAATAATTCAGGTATCAATTTCAATAGACCATCCTAGCACTTATTCCCGAAAAAAAGGCTACAATAATGGCACGTGGGCTAAATAAGTTTTATTCTCTCCTAGAAAGTTAGACAAACCAATACAAAATAAACACAATTCCGTAGAACATTTACATTTTTATGCACCCATGTGATCTGGCAGTGACCGGATTAAGCATTTTTATCAATTACATTTTCTTTCTTTCTTTCTTTCTTTCAGGTTCTAGTTAACGTTGGGAAGAACTTTGACGAGGAGAGAAGTAATTTCATCGCGCCGCGCAAAGGGATTTACAGTTTTAACTTCCACGTAGTGAAGGTCTACAACCGCCAAACTATACAGGTAGCTCCTTTTCGTGTGTTTGTCTTTTATGTGTAGGCTATGTGTGTGCTGGTGTGTCTGCGCGCGCGGGCCACGCCACGCGCCCCCACGCTGTTCCTCTCATAAAAGTTGAATATCACCCACACTGGAAGTCATTTTGTAGATGTTTGAGATGTCTTTCCCGGGAGACAACGACGGAGGCGGGCGTTAACAGATGAAAGCTACACGCCCGCCACCCGCCGGCCCAATCATAATTAATCAATACATGCACAGAGGACCGAGCCAAATTAAGCGCGTGTAGCCGGCAGGAGGACGGGTTGCTGTGGTGAGCGCAAGGAGGGGCACGCGGGCTCCAGCAGCTTTACTTTCAGCACCATGGACAGCGTCCACGTCTGTCTCTCTTTTCATGAAAAGAGGCAGCAGGCCCACTAAGATTTTTGATTATTTAGAAGATTAAAACATTAAGTACATTTTGAACAGAGCAAACAGAGACAGGCGTTTTAATTTCCTCTCTCTTACACAAAGATATACACACATGCGGGTTTTATGCAGAAATAACATGTTTTCTACTTTATTCTACTTTTCTATTTATTTCACACACACACACACACACACTGCCTGCAGTATGCCACATCACAACTCTCCTTTCATCCTACTAACAACTCGTTTTCACTATGTCTTAGATGCAGTCTCCGTATTCTTTTGATGTGTCAAGTGATAGGAAGCACTTGAGCAGACTTAAACCCATTTCCAGCATTTACCCTGCACGTGACGTTTTACAAGCCACACAGCCTTAATTACAATGTATCTCTTGCAAATTAAACTGTTGTGTAATTATGCTGTTGGCTCCCTGGAGCGTTGGCATTATGTTTTGCTACTTATACTTTATTATTGGAGTCTTGAATTAATTAGCATGGCAGCAATAACAACAACAAGGAGGGTGGGCGATATGTGAGGGGGAAAAGCTACATCAAGCTCGTCATATTCCCACTCATCTTTGTGTGACTGAACACAAACAGGCCGTGGAAGGCAAACACTTGACTCGTGGCACTAAGGTAATTAAGTCTGTCACACCATGCAGAACACATTGATGATAATGCCTGTCACATCACCATTAGGACTGTTATTTGTGCTGTGTTCTCAATATGAAACTACATTATTGCTATGAGATATTGTCTGCAGCTTAACAACGAAAGAGCTAACTGAAAAGGAAAACAGAGAAACTGTCATTTTGATAATTGCCAGACCGACTGACTTGTGCAATCAGAATTACTTACTCAAGTCATATTTAGTTTAAATCCTCTAAAGCCCATAACATTTTAAAATACAGTAATTACATTTTTTCAAACTGATTTAGGCCATTTAGGTTTGAATGCAGTTAGAAAAAGCTGTGTTCTGTCACGTTTCTGACATGAAACAGGTGTAGGTTGTCCTCTCTTCTCCAAGCATCCAGCTTGTGCGCTGCTCACCTTCAACCTCTTCTACTCATCCTCCCATCCATCCAGCACATCTGCTGTGTTGAAAACTCCCACTGTTTGATTGCCTTAGAGGCAGATACTGTGGTGCATGCAAGAGATGAGAGACAGCAGGGAAAGGAGAGTGGTAGGGATGAAGGGGATGGGAAAGAGAGGAAAGGGTGACCGTAAATGTAAAACAGTGAGAGGGACAAGGAAAAGAAACGAGGGGAGGAGGAGCAGAGGGGAAGGGGAAGGAAGTGAGAAGGAGAAAAAGGACAGGGAAGAGAAAACTGAGAATGGAAAGAGTTTAAGGTAACTGGAGAACTGGAAATGTGGGAGAATTGGAGGGAGGGACAGGAGTAATTAAGGAAAAGAGGAGAAACAAGGGACATGGATGAATAGGAGGGACGAGAGAGTTCAGGCAGGCGAAGATAGAAATACTGTAGGAAGAAAGCGGGACATCATGAGTAACTATTGATCAGTGGATGCTGGGTAGATGAACAAAGGGATGGGTAAACAGTTTGTTCCATCTCTCATCAGTCCTTTCCTCTGCAGGGATCTGTCTATCTGCGAGGGGTGAGAGAAGTGATGTGGGTTTCAAAAAGCTGCTGCATATCTCTCTAGGCTTTCTGCCTAGCAATTAAATAATACAAGTATTGCAAATCAAATACAGTATATTCTCTGATCTAAAGTGAACTCCAGCACACTACCAAAAATGCCATCAATCAGCCTTGCCTATACCTCCACTAAGGGATGGCTTACTTACTATTATTTTTAAATCACTTAAAATGAATATCTCACAGACTTCCTTTTATTACAGGGATTCATTTCAGGAACAGCTATTTTCATTTCCTACATGTGCCACTGCATTTGAAATTAAATTGAAACAAATGAATCCCAACTCCCTTAGTGAACATGTTGTTCCTGCAGCTTGGAACAGAGAGCTTGCAGATCAGAAAGACAAACAGATGAGGTGCTGGTAGGATATCAACAATGTGAGGGGCTCTCTGGATGGGTGGGCTTACAAATCACCATAATAAAGACAATAATACCTATACTGTAAATAGTATGAGATATTAGACAGGGTTTAATGTGACTTCTGTTAGAGTACTGTGCGGTAACTTAAACAAAATCAAAACACAAGCCAGCATTTTATTATTACTAATCTGCGTGTGAGATAATGTTGATATTGTTTTTAAAAAATGGGCTCCCACAGAGAACTGGATCTAAATTTCAGAAAACATAATTGAAAACAACTCTTTTGGCCAGGAGTTATAAAGCATGGAGTAGAATATTATAGAAAAAAGAAATGTTCTTGTTGTTTTGAAGTTTAAATTAGCGGTATTTTGAGCACCTAACCATTTAGAAATAACACTCATGAAGGCTCAGGTCACAGCAGCTCTATAGGGGTGAAAGCTACACAAGGAGCACATCTAAAATGCCTCATGCTGTGTGTGTGCCGTTCTGCTGCTATAATTTTCTCATTGAGAGAAGAAAACCTGGAGACACTGCTTTAAGCTGTTGATAGCATCTTGCTCTGATAATAAGATATTTTGCCTTTTACGTACAGCTCTTTGCAAGGGCATAGAATTAGGTATGGTCACCACCACTATCCTATCCTACTAAACTGTCTTTGCAATAATTTAAATATAACCACTGTTGTCTGTCAGTGTCTAGTTAATGTATTTGGTACACAATCAGTCAGTCAGACACAAATTAGTAAGGGAATAAACCAAAATGCGGAATTGTAGTCTGTCAACTACATTAAGTCATAATCGAATAGGTTGTTTTGAGTCATATGTGCATGTGTTAGTATTTCCTGCAGTCTCCAGTTATTTAAGTTTGGACTGCAGTGTGGTGTCTTTCCTTTGAACGGTTAGTCTGTGTCGCTGCAGTCTCTGCGTCCCCCTCACTTAGAGACACCTTTGTTTTGTTTGGGACTGTCTCAGTGCTCCGGGATGCTTCAGTTCCCACCGAAGGAGCTGCAAGCTGCAATTTATCAGAGGTGATGAAGTTAATATTTGTGAGGATTTGTGCTGAGATTCATGCCTGATCAGAAGTGTTTTCCGTTAGTTTCAGTCTTCCACCTCTGTTGAAGAGCAGCACACTTGACTCATCCTCAGACGGTCTGAAGGGGATACTACCATATCAGCAGAGCAATAACGTAGGCCAGTGCACACCAGAGTAGGCCGTAGGTAGTGCAGGTAGATTTAAAACAAATATTAGGACTTTATTCTCTTTAAATTGTGACTTAATTCTTGTAATACAGCTTTTTTTTTCTCAAAATATTAGGACTTCCTTCTCAAAATGTCAGAGGAGACAGATAGGTGGGATAGATTTTGAATGTGCAGAAAGTTTTAACACGAGCAGAAAACTTAATGAAACACAGAAGCTATTATACTTAGATAACTTAGATGGGTGCCACAGGCACATTTATTTCCTCAAACAAAAGACCCAAAAGGAGGGAAGACCTAATCATACCTGCATACTGTATGTCTTGACTCAGCAGGGATGATATTAAATGGGAAAGTTGATCTACAGGAGATATTTTTCAATTTTAATTTTGTTAATTTTATTTTTAATTGTCAGCTGCCACCTACATTTTGTGTGTCGTCATAAATGAAAACATTTCCACCATAAATTGGTAGAGAAAAGGCAGAAATTGGTACAGAAAGATTCCCCAGAATGCAGGAAATCAAGTGTTTAACGATTAAAATGTTCTGGGAGAAGACCTCCAGACCACACTTACTGTGGCCTACACCCTTGGTTGTTTTGGTTAGAAGAACTTATTTGATATTTTGACTCAGAGTTTCTGCATCTGTCTGCAACAAACCCGAATCCTTTCAGTTCTTTCAGTGCCAGCCCATGTTTGTACTTTGGTTTTCATATCACACATTATTATTCCCTAACTTGGGTCACTGGGGTCATCCTATGTTATAATGAGATATTTCCCTCCTGAGATATAGCAAACATGCTCCGTTTTCTAATGCCTTGATGTTCATTAAGAGCAGCGAATGCTGTCACAGTGAACTGTAGTGCATACTATAGCTAGAAAATAGTTACTAATACCAAAATTGTCCACTTTCTGCATCACAGGTTCCTATTTAAGTAATTATTATGCAGTTCATTTTATAAGGCATATATACCAGTTGTAAAAAGGGTGAAATACATCAACATTTTAACATACAAATGAAGCAGAACTTACAGTAGACTTAGCAACATGTGGGTGGTGGGATATTTTCAACAGGTCAAAATTAGAATGTTTTGCTGGTCAACATTAATCATTCTCAGGGCAGAATTATATGTACAAAAATATTTCTAAATGGAGCACAGATAATTGTTTTCATTAGATATATTATTCACAGCATACAAAAAACAGAAAGAACTAAGTGACTAGCTAAGTGCGTGGCAATTTTACAACATAATTATGTATTAAATGTCACATATAACGAATGTTGTGTGAATGCTGATCTCTGATTAAAATGGTTATAGTGCTGTCACAGAGTGCTGATGCCATATACGTACCACTTCATTAAAGTGTTAGTGAATGCTGTTTTTAAAAGA